TGATGGAATTTTTTCAGTAATATTTTCATAATCAGCACCGAAAGTACTATAAAACTCACTGATTATATTTGAAACAACTTTTTATCGCAGACCATATTGATCCATTTTTTGTAGCGTTTATCTACATAAGTCATATCTTGCTGGTAGAATTTTATTTTCCCTGATATATTTCTCAGCAATTTAACTAATGAAAATTCCGTTTGTCGTTACCATGTAGAACACGCTTATACAAGATGCAGTGCATTGAGGATGTACGATGGGTGGAGATGGGCTTACGTTGGCCCAAAGCGACACTCTCTAGCTGATTACGTATTCAGATATCGAGATATAAAATATCTTCTTTATTGTCTTTTCGGCGTTGCTGGTGTCGGCCAGTAAAATCCCATTATTCAAAATCATTGGTTGCGATGTACAATTAAATTACCGTGACGACTTTTCCGAAATAATTTTACCATGAAATTTTATTGATTTTTAACTGTTATCTTGGGCGACATTTTTAATTAAACTATCACTTCTTACGCGAAAGACAAACATTTTAAAAAAGACGTATTTGAAGGAATGTTGTTATTTGTAATGGAGTGATGATTTGTGGTTGCATGGCAACTTTAGGTTTAGGATGTTTGGTATTTATTGATTATACCTTGAATGCCCTGAAATATCAACAAATACTACAAAACAGTTTGCTACCGAGTATCATGAAGTTAAATCTTGGCAAAAATTACGGTTTTTCGCAGGATAGATTGGCTTGTCACACGACCAAAACCTTAGAGCATACCAAAACAGTCCTGACATTAATGTCACTAAGACTGTGGCATAAAACGAAACAGAGATTAAGAAACAATCCATAGTGAACATTTTAAATAATAATAAGTTTATTTAAAAAAGTTAAAGATTGATATAGATAGTGATTAAGTAATATGGAAATCTCAAATTTTTAAATTCCCAACCAACCAATTAATATGAAGTGGATAACATTTTCTAAAAATGGTGTAAATAATAATTTAAATAAATAACAACAAAGAAATCTTAAATCTAGATTTTTCTGTCTTCTTTTTCTACTGAGATCTGTTATGGTCTGCTATGTCATCATCTCCTACTTAAATCTGCCTCTTTGACTCCTTCCTTTCACTCAAATACTTTCCTTATAACATAATTCTGTCTGTCTCTGCTTTTTTGCCCGCACCAAAATTACGTCACACGTTTATGGCGTATTAGGCATTCCAAACAAAATGGCTACCAGTGGGTTTTGACAAGTTATGATATGGCAAAATTATGGCAACCCTGTAGGCCTGGTAATTTGACAGGGACAATGACGTAGCTAAGTTATATAGATTGATCATCCATGTTTTTCAACATAAACATAAGCCTATGCCTTGAAGTAAAAATATAGGTAATTTTTTTACTATATTCAAAGGCTGAAAATTGGTTTGTAAAAACATTTTTAATAAACCGATTCTGATTAACGAGCACGTGCGAGGCAATATGGCCACCCGCTTTGAGCAATCTATATATGTATCACTGACCCTTAGACCAGGTAATAAAGCCTATGCCTTAAGGTAAAAATATAGGTTATTTTTTTTACTATATTCAAAGGCTGAAAATTGGTTTGTAAAAATATTTTTACTAAACCGATTCTAATTACCGAGCACGTGCGAGGCAATATGGCCACCCGCTTTGAGCAATCTATGTATGTATCATTGACTCTTAGACTAAGTAATAAAGAGAGGACGCATAACAAGTATATCGAGCACACGTAGTATTCTGTGCCGATTATCTACAGGCCGCCATTATTTTGATGCTAATCATTTATTTTAAATTTCCTGTGGATCCAGAAAAAAATCATTTGGATTAAGGCAACGAAAATTGCAAATTGAATGCCTACGCCAAATAATAGACAGTACATTTTGAAAGACATTTTATTTTATGGGACGGACTGTAAAAGACGTTTACTAAATGGAGCAGTTCCCACTATATTTCCTGAATTCTCTAAATACATACAGCCGAAGAATGTGCCTATACTAATAAACATAATTAAACATATATATATTTTTTAATTACTTTTCATTATTATGTTATGAACTTTGTGTATAATTCAAAACATTACCGTAATAATTGATTGTAGTACTTAAAAAGAAGAGCATTGCATTTGGAAGCTGAGCCAGGCCCTTCAAATAAAGAATCTACCCTAGCATAAAACGGCTTAGAAGACAACTTTTACAACAGGTAGAAAAGAATAAAGAAAAAACAAGACAAATCAAAGTTCTTAAACAAAAACTTAAAAGATATACTTTTTCGTGGTTGTGTGTTTTTATATATTGTCTTTTTATATTATTTATTTGCCATTATTGGAACTGTGGTATACCGGAACTAGTACACTTTATCATTAAAAATGGTAAGTTTTAATTTATTTGTCTTTTAATTTCATAATCTCACTTTATTAATGTCTTATTTTTTAGAAAAATACCTTAAAACAATAACTCAACAAAATTATATGCTACGGAGACATTAGTTACAAACGCTTTGGCTAAAATTAATACCATAAAAAGAAATTTTTAAATCGACCAAACTGGAATAGTTTCTCTTAGCAACAAGTATTTGAAGTCATTTTTTAATTATTTTATCCAACACTGTAAAACAATATTTACTGTGTCAGTTTTAATAGTTTAATAATGTATAATAAACAGTATTAAATATAGTACACAAGTATTCATTTATTTTTTTTTTAAATGAATTTCCATCAAGTAAATAGATGACTTAAACACGTCCAATACGGTTTGTCTTCAAGACGTGCAAAACTGGATATCTTAAAAGCATACAAAATTAGATGTCCTAAAGACGCCTTGTTTTGTAACAAAGTACGTCCTATAGACGCCTTTAAAACATTTTTTTGATATTAGCGTAAATATTCAAAACGTCACGAATGTCGTGAACAAACGAATTTAAGATGTCTTTAAAAAGTGTCTGTGCTATCTGGGTAGTGTCATTCTTTATTAAATAAAAATAAATCTTTTTGTAATACATGTAGATCATTATGTTTTATTTTGCGGAATTTAAAAAAAAACACTCATTTTATTATGTAAACGATTTCATTTAGTTTATTTCAATACATTTTTTCTTGTGTCTTATTTATTGTTATTTAATTTAAATTTTACACTTTGAACTTGCTTAATACTTAAAAAGATCAATGAAGTACTATACTCTGTTTTTAAACTAAGAGGAGCGATTTGAATTTAAGTTGGCAATTATGTAGCCTTCTGATTGGTCAGATTACAGTCAGTTTCACACATTACTTTTTAGCATGAACATCAGCTAATAATTGATATTGTTGACAGTTCTGACATTTTATAATTTGATGTCTCATTACTTAGTTTTTTACTCTATTTCGTAAATAATAGTTCTTCAGTAAGCAATTGTATTGAAAATCTACAATAATTATGGATCCTTCTACACTGAGTACTATTAAAGGTAGCAATTCCTGAAAAGCCTTACAAGAAAGGGAAGACACCTTATTATTTTACATGCTGATTCTGAAGGTTTTGTAGAAAATGCAATATTGGTTTTTGAAGGTAAAAAGATGGGAGATTACCATGAAGAGATGAATTCCGAAGTATTTTAGAAAAAAATAATTTTATTACTGATTTTTTAAAACTAAAACTTGATGAATTTCTAACCAAAATGATTAAAATGTAACTAAATATTTAAGCAAATTTTATTTATTAGAATAGAATAAAACTATTTACAAAATTGTTATAACATTTAAAACACCATCTACTACTTTAGGGATAATCTTAATTTGGCACAATGAGTTAACATTACTTTCACAAAAAATATTTTAAAAATACTTAAAATTAATACATAGGTATGTATGAACAGTTCACTTTAAAAAATAAATGTTGACATGTAGTGTTATGAAAATGACTCATAGGCCTGTAAACTTTTGAATGCCTTTATTTGCCCTCTAGCGCATTAACCATTAATACTAAATATGCCATAATATCCACATTACTCATAGAAGAGATACCAGTTACTGTGTGATCCACTTGTCATTCACTGATTAACTTTTACTTTTTATACCTATAACAAATATATCCTTAAAAATGTAAACAGATCTTTATATTTTATACTAACCTGGCTATATCTGGATATTCCATTAACAATTTTCTTAAATATTGAATATCAATTTTAAAAAGATCATAGTTATTCTCAAAAAGTCGATTTCAAAAGCAAGAAAAAAGTATTTCTGACATCAATCAACAACCATATTTGACAGTGACATTTCGTTTTAGACACACATTTCAGATCACAATAATGTGAAATTTGCGACCTTTGTCTGGGACCAATTAAAAAATTACTTATATGACATTTATTCGTTTCTTAACCGCTCATTGGCCATTCACCGACTAAGGCCGATAAAGATAATTATTTTATAAATTTTGAACACGACTATATTTTGAAACTCACTCTTAGTAACAAATCTAGTTACTTTTCCCTGTGTAAATGCGTCTTTTCAATTCGCTTCTCCTAGTTTAAAAACAGAGTATAATAACATAAATACAAGTTCGTTTTTTTATTTCCAACATGTTACGCCTTTGGTCAAATATCGTTGGTGTCAAAATGGTACAAAATTTTCAGCGACGTTATGAGTCCTCTCTTTATTACCTAGTCTAAGCACTGACCCTGTCAGTGACAACAGGCCTACAGGGTTGCTATATCTAAACTGTCAGTTCCCACTTGTCAGCATTTTGATAGGTCGTTAGAATGTCTAATTTTCGAATAATGAAAAAGGTGAATTAAATTGCGAAATACGTTTTATCGAGTTAACGAGTAGCGTAATAAAAATCGTATGTATTAATAACCTTTATCTTATTCCACTGCTTGCACGTAATATAAATAGGAGTATAATCTAAAAAATGTTCGAGTTAAAGGGATCAAATGTAACAGCTTAAAAATAAATGAATGCATTTTAGTAAGATAATTCATTCGTTCCTTTAGAGTCACATGTTTCACCTAGGTATTTACGTCAAGGTTAAATACTTAAAGTTGCTTTTGATTAACTAAATGTCAAAGTCAAAATTTCACAATAAGTACAAAAACGCGAGACAGCAAAGGGGCTTCTCACTTCGGCAATACATGAACTATAATATTTTATAATATTTCATTTAATGTGGCATTGCATAGCAATATATTTATTTTTACCAGATTAAACGGCATAAAATAAACACTGCCTAAAATTCTTGAATCAGAAAATATTTTGCCATTCCTTGGTACGTTTTTGATTACCTGGATATTTATGTTGATTTTAATGAAAATTATTTAAGGTAAGGGATCAAACGTTTTTAAAAATATTTTAAGAATAACCTTTTATAAAAAATTGTCCTCCAAAAATAGCCAAAAGTAAAAAATGGAAAGTGTATAATCTGAGATCTAGTCATAATACAACAAATTAGCATGATTAAATGGTATTATTTACACCATATATTTTAAATTAAATGTTTAAAAAACTCAAAAAATTGTGCACGATGCCGTTGGAGGTTTTCGTGAGATATGGCGCCATACTCTTGCTGAGCAAACTACTACAATTTCTGATGTTTCTTTAGGTTTATATTGAGTTGAGGGCAAACCAAATTAAATTAAAAGTAAGGAGAAAATAATAATGTAACTTATTGAAACTATACAACAAATCATGCGTTTTATATCCGTGACAACTTTAATTTAATTTAATGTTAAAAATACAAATATTAAACTAGTTTTGCTTTTCAATTAGTATTAATTGTAATCGTAGAAAAAATATAGTAAATAACACCCCTCGTAATGCAATTACAAATTTGCTCTGGCTCTTTATGTAATGGACCATTTGATAACATCAAATTTGTTGCATCAAACTAGTCATGGTAGCAAAACTTTTAAATGTGTTATTTATGTAAGGCAAAATTACAAACTTATCGTTTTTTCTAATCTTGTAGAACTTGAAAATACTTTACTGCAGTCCCACATTGGAAACTTTGAGATTGCTGCCACCTTTGGAAAATGAAATTGTTAGAATAGGTCGTGTTTGCGTATTGCTCATTTTTTTATTGTAGAATTAAATATGTTATTATTGAAAAGCGTTATCGGTCATTTATCTGGTGGTAGAAAGCCATGACAACAAAATGAGAAAGTACTGCGAGCTGAATTTTAAGAAGCTATGAAACTTGCACTTTATATACAGGGTGTCTGTAAAAGGTCTTTACAAAAACATACCACATATTCCTTAGACCAAAATAAGTCGATTTAAGTAAAATTACCTTAGTACAAAGTTGCTTCGTTTGGGCTCCAGAGGGCCTTGAAGTTACAATTTTTAAATCGTTTTTCCCATATAAATTTAAAACGGCATATGCGATTTTGCTGAAATTTGGTATATTAGTAAAGTTTTATGTGGCAAAAAAAAATGGTATTAAAATTTTGTCAGATACTAATACATAGGCGTAGAACTTGATTTTTTAAATAATTGCACCTTTAAAAATTCTACGTCAATGAAAAAAAAGGAGTTTGAGTATGAAATTTAGATTGCGCAACTCATTTTCTTTAAAAAAGGTACTCTTGATAAGACTCGATTACTCTCATGGTTTTGACGAAATTTGCATTTTAGTAATTTTAGAACATAAACAATAATTATTCAAATACAAACTTTGTCAAAACCATGAGAGTAAATCGAGTGTTATCAAGGGTACTTTTTTGTAGTAAATGAGTACCCAATCCAAATTTCATACTCAAACCCCTTTTTTGCCATTGGCGTAGAATTTTTAAAAGTGCAATTATTTAAAAAATCAAGTTCTACGCCTATGTATTATTATCGGACAAAATTTTATACGATGAAAAACATAAAAATGTACTTTTTTCATATCTTCTTCAACACCTCTAATCGAGACTTTTAACAAAAATACTCGATTCTTGCCATGTACGATTTTTTGAGGAATATTAATTATTTGCCTGCAATACGTATACAAAAACATTTATTGTTGGTTTCCATAGTTTCATCTAAATAAAAATATTGTCAAGTTTTAACACCTAATCTCTTGTTAACGATTGAAAGTGTTCTATCTGACTCAATAATTAAAAAAACAAATGCGTGGTTTATTAATATGGCTGTACAATATACCAATGCAGAATATACCGATATGTTACTGACATTAGGATTTTGTGAAGGAAATACTCGAGAGAGTGTCAGGGTGTACTCTGAAAGGTTTCCAAATCGTCGTGTACCTAGCCACCCAACTTTTGCTGCTGTTGAGAGACGTCTTTAGGAGACCGGTCCTTTGCTCCCAACACTGTTGATAATGGAAGAGAACGTTTTGTAAGGATTCCTGAAGTTGAAGAAGACATTTTAGAACGTGTTGAAGAAGATCCAGAATTAAGCACCACACGAATTGGAAGGGAACTAGGAGTAAGTAAAGATGTCGTTCATAAAGTGCTTAGAGAACAATTGCTATATCCATACCATAAGAAGCCAGTACAAGAATTATTAGTCCATGATCCTCAAATTCGTTTAGGTTTTTGTCGATTTGTTAATATGCAAAGAGAAAGAGTTCCAAACTTTGTCAAGAAGGTTCTCTTTACCGATGAAGCGGGTTTTACAAGAATAGGTATAACTAATACCCATAATGAACATGTTTATGCCGTTGAAAATCCGCATGCAATAAAGGTAAACCATTTTCAGCACGAATTCAAAATTAATGTGTGGGCTGGAATAATTGGTAATTTCATTGTTGGTCCTGTCATACTTCCACGAAGATTAACTGGAAAAAATTATTTGGATTTTCTACAAAATACGTTGCCAGAATTGTTAGAAGATTTACCTCTCCAACTTCGGAGAGATATGTGGTTTATGCAAGATGGAGCTCCACCACATTTTTCTTTAAACGTTAGAAACCACTTGAATGAACAATATTCACACAAATGGATAGACAGAGGTAATGACGCACCTGTAAACTGGCCACCACGTTCCCCAGACATAACACCGATAGATTACTTTTTATGGGGACATCTGAAATCCACAGTTTACAGGGAACCTGTAGAAAATGAGGAACAACTCTGGCAACGTATTCAAGATGCAATAAACAATCTTAGAGGTGATGAAGAAGTTATGGAAAGGATACATTTTAATTTCCTTCGACTGATAAATCTTTGTATGCGTGAAAATGGTGAACATTTTGAACAATTTTTGTAAAATCTCTATTTTGATTATGTTGTAAATAAATATTTTTGTGAAACCTATACACTCTAAATTATTAAAACAGAAATTTAGCGAAAACCATGAGAATAATCGAGTCTTATCAAGAGTACCTTTTTTAAAGTAAATGAGTTGCGCAATCTAAATTTCATGCTCAAACTTTTTTTCTTCCATTGGCGTAGAATTTTTAAAGGTGCAATTATTTAAAAAATCAAGTTCTATGCCTATGTATTATTATCGGACAAAATTTTAATACCATTTTTTTTGCCACATAAAACTCTACCAATATACTAAATTTCAGCAAAATCGCATATGCCGTTTTAAATTTATATGGGAAAAACGATTTAAAAATTGTAACTTCAAGGCCCTCTGGAGCCCAAACGAAGCAACTTTGTACAAAGGTAATTTTACATAAATCGACTTATTTTGGTCTAAGGAATATAATAATAATAATAATAATAAAGGTTTTTATTGACTGTTAATTACAAAGAGACAAATAAAACAATAATTCATGTATGGTATGTTTTTGTAAAGACCTTTTACAGACACCTGTATATTTTTTTATTGATCATTATTTCACCGAATTACATTAATTATCAAGATTGGTGATCTTTTTGTATTCCTTGAAAAAAATATTAAGGAAGAAGGATGCCATTATATAGACCATTTGCAGAGATAGTCAATAATAATTATAAACTAGAAAATTCTTTTAAACCATAATCATAGTAGTTTTTTGTCGTTTCTATGGCAACCTGTAAAAATGAATCACAACAATAGGCATACAAATAAATTTTTAAATCTGCAAAAATTGATTCATATTTTTAATTATTTTTACCTACCAATCGTGGATAGATGTTTTTGTGCGATGTTAAGAGGAAAAAAATGTTTCCCTTTAACGATATTTCAAGATATATTTGAATGTTATTTTCTGGAAAACTTTAAGGGCAAACAAAGTTAGCGCTGTCATACTTTGTGTGATTTTTTTATAATAAAATAATTTTTTTAAGCCACTTTGCTCAGGATTGGGATTGGCACAGGTGCCATTTGGTAAAGTACAATGTTTTTACATGCTTTTGGGGTATATTTCATTTCGTTTTCAGATGACGGTAAAAATTTGCAGTGGGTTCTTGGGCTATAAGTAAAGGTAGATATTTTAGAATATTTTTGTCAATAGTAAATCGTTGTTTTTCCTGTCACAGAAAAAATAGTGTATTATATACGGGAAAAATAGGTTATAAAATCTAATACTTTTTCCCTTGTATAATAAATAACTATATCTTGATTGATGACATAAAAAGATTTCTTATAATGTATTGATGAAACCGCGTTTAAGTGAGAAGCCCTTTTTACTAACCTCATTTTAACCAAAAAAGAATTAAAAATAATGTATATACAAATGGTTTACTTATTGCAGAAATTTTGTTGAGAATATTTTAAAGAATGTAGAAATTTTTTGTCAGGTATGAAAATTAACAAAATTGCAAATATATAGGACATAATATTTGATTACATATTTTGGATAATATATATTCAGCCACTTTTAGAAAAATGTTTTTGATTAGCGAATGGAATGTACTGACCGCAAAATATGATTAGAATATTTTTAATATTAATATATATTCAATACATATACTCCTACCAATCTAACAAACCCTGTGATGAAAGTTGGTGGAAAACAGCAACATTCTATCAAATCTATCCGAAGTCCTTCAAAGATAGTGACGGAGACGGAATAGGAGACCTACAGGGCGTAATAGAAAAATTGGATTACATAAGGAACTTGGGAGTGACTGGTATATGGTTGTCGCCCATTTTTAAATCACCAGAAAAGGATCAGGGATACGACATTAGCGATTATAGGGACATCAATCCAATGTTTGGAACGTTAGAAATATTTCAGCAGCTTGTAAATGAAGTACATAAAAGACGTTTGAAAATTATTGTGGATTTTGTGCCGAATCATACCAGTGATAAGCATGAGTGGTTCGAAAAATCAGTAAATAGAGAAGACAAATATGAAGATTATTATATCTGGAAAGGCGATGAAAACAGTACTGGGCCTCCAAATAATTGGGTGAGTAATTTTTATTATCATTATTCCTCGGTAAATATTTTTTTAAATAGCCTGAACTGGATATGGGGCGCCAGCTTCAGCACTTTGTGTTGTAAGGCAGATAATTAATCATGGAAAACAAATAAATACCACAACAATATAAAATATAAACGACATGACCTGCTCACCTATTAATCTCCTGCGTTCTTCCGTTTTTCCTTGGCCTCATTGGCAGAGGCACTTGATAGTTGAGAATTCGGCAACCTAGTGGATGATTGCTTGATACGATGGTGTCCTCGGTATCCAGGTATTCTCGGAATTTATTCATGTCTCACACTGCAGCCAGAGCTTCGTGGTCGGTAGTACTGTAGTTCTGGCCTACGGGGGTTAGTAATATTGATGCCTCTTCCACAGACGTTATATCTTCTCCCCTTGTATTAATTAGAGATGCTTTCAAAACGAACAATCGAATATTTGAGCAAATTGAAATTTTATTTGAACGGTGTTTATAGTCGATTTTCCTGAAAAAGACAGATAAATCCTTTCATTATGTCTAAGTTCTAGATGAACTAAAGTTACCCTATTAATAGAGTAAGCATTATATTGAAAGGGATCCTTCGAGTTCAAGAATCATGTGGGATATCCAGGACTATGCACGTTTTATTTAGGAAGTCTGCACCTAACAAGATTCTAATCTCTGTGTGCTCAGGTACAGAGATTAAGCATACGTCGTGTAATATGTCTTGCAAAGTTGCGGTAACATTAATGACTAGAACATGAAAGATAACGGTTTTACTATCGCAAGCGTCATTTCCAATGTTTTCGTGTGATAGAGTATCTCATCTGTTAGTAAAATGTTGCATTAAGCACCATAATCTAGGTAAGAGTAGTCTGAAGGATTAAATAAATGTACAAAAGATTTTGATAATAATTGAGTTTCAATGTCTGGTATATCAAGAGGATCTACAGTTTTTGCTAACATAAATTGGGCGGCTGACAATTTATTTATAGAGCACTTAGGACCGTTACTTTTAATGAAACCTAGAGTTTTACATTTATAGTATGTAATGAGGTTTTTTAAAGGAGTATTAAATGATTGAAGCTTGGGTGTTTTGGGAATTTGGGATGAAACTGAAGTATTTTTATTAGTTTTAGCTTTTCTAGACGCGGCTGTAGCTAATATTTTACACATATCTTTTAAATGCCCATGACTCTTACCATATGCACATCGAACGTTCTTAGTTTCTTTCATGACTTCGTAATTTTCAAATGGCTTTTCTGCTAACCTAGTTTGTATTAAAAGTTCGTTAAATGTCTTTATTTTGTCGCGGGGAATGTTCCCTTTTATTTGTCTTTGTAACAACACATACTATTATATAATATCAAGTTAAATAGTTTCAGTTAGCTAAAGTTGCGCGCTCCTTACATATAAGAATCTTCTTCTTGCTCGGAGAGTGATGGTTACGCAAAAGTTGTATGAGTTCATCCCATGTTGTATTACTAGCTTTAACTCATTGACACCATTTATCCACAAAGCCATCTAAAAGCATAGGTATTCCCCTCGAAGCATTTTCGTTTAAAGTCTTTATATACAGGATTTCCCAAGATTGTTGGAACACAGAGCATCCACGTGTAGTAGAGGTCAGAATAAGTCGATTGGACTCAATTTATTTATATATCAAAAAAGAAATTTAATAAAAAGGGGGTTTCTATTAAAAAATTAAAAATAAATTGTGATTTTCTGTTGTTTCCGAAAAACCGGAAGTAAGCCATGACGTCACAGATCAACTGAATCCAGTATATGACAATATTTGTTCCAAGCTTTTAAACAAAAAAGTTTTTATTCCAACACCTCAATTAACAACGATTATAAAAGCGGATGGAATTTTTAAACGGTTTGCTAATAATAAAAATGCCTAGATACGCCACTGGTGTACTGTAAGTGAGTCTTAATAGGAATTTTGAAGCTTACAATGATTTGATAAGGATCATACATTCCCATATGTTTTCCATAGTTTTCCCTTTTTTAATAGTAACATGTTTAGAAAAAATATCCAATATGGCAGCCATTTTGACAGCTGACAGAATAGTTTCAATGCACGCTTCTTATCCAAAAATGTCCCAGAAATTCAAATTTTCAATAAAAAAGGGGTTTCGATTTTAAAATAAAAATTAAATTGCGATTGTTAGTTATATCCGGAAAAATCGAAAGTTAGCCATGACGTCACAGATCAGACCAGATCCATTATATGAAAGTATTTGTTATAAGCTTTTAAACAAAAAGTTTTCATTCCGATATCTCAATTAACAACGAAGATAAAAGCAAATGGCATTATTAAACGGTTTGCTAATAATAAAAATGCTTAGATACGCTACTGGTAAACGGTAAATGGGTCTCAATGGGAATTTTAAAGTTTACAAAGGTTTTATAAAGATCGTACATTCCTATTTTTTTTTTCCACAAACGAATTAATAGTAAGACGATTATTATACAAAAATATTCCAGAAATTCAAATTTACAATAAAAAAGTTGGTTTCCATTTATAAATAAAAAATTAATTGCGATTTACTGTTATTAACGGAAAAACCGGAAGTAAGCCTTGACGTCACAGAATTATTGAATCCATCATAAGAAAGTATTTGTTGTAATATTTCCAAACAAAAAAAAATATTCCCATATCTCATTGAATAACTAAGATAAAGAGGAGTGGAACTTTTAAGTGACCCACCCTGTGTACCTGCTAATCATTACTCAGTTGTTTTCAATAGGGTTGATTAAAAAATAACAGCTTCGGTACCATTCCCAAATAATGACTTACTTTAGTTAGTCCTTTTATATTTACCTATTGCCTAGGGTAGTTGATAGTTTCGCCCAGAATTTGTTAATTGTAGGGAACAGTTCGCATTACCTCCATTTATCTAATTTTCAGATAAGCAATTTTAAATTTTCTGCATGGGAATGGAACGAAAATAGAAAACAGTATTACTTGCATCACTTTCTGAAAGAACAACCTGATCTGAATTTTAGAAATCATCATGTAAGGAACGAAATGAAAGTAAGTGGTTAACAAAACATGCAATATTGATTATATCGCTCACAATGTACATTGCTAATTACCTAATTAATAATCGATAATCATCCACTATGCAAAGTATTGTAACTCATTGTTTAAAATGTGAAAAAAAAATGTGCATACCTACCTGCGAATATAATTATACTGTCAAATTAGTGAGGCCAAAGGGCCATCAGAATTGCTTTTGTGCCGACGAAAAAATTTTTAAATTTTCTTGCTCCTACTTATTATTAATTTTTTTTTTCAACTACTCAAGAAACTGCCAGAAAAATATCTTCTGGCCGTTTACGCGTGTATATGTATAAATGATTTTGATTTTATTTAATATAAAAAATGCATGACTGAAGAAAGGGATAATATGTTTTTTTGGGTTCATGGTATGTATATGATAGTTGGAGTTAAGTAGAGTAATCTAATAGGTAAGTAATCTAATTAAAAATTTCTTTGTATACCATATTTCAGGTACGGCTCTCATCTGCTAATATCACCATATTGCATGCGTAACTAACTCTCTAAGGTCACATGAAACTGTTCGGGAGAAAAGCAGTCCTACCTTAGGCTGTCAAGGTGTCGGGACTCGAGATATTTTGTTTTTATCAATTCATTCCTCATATTATTCATATCAAGACGTAACAAGTTCCACTTATTTGCTTTTAATTATTTTTATTAATTAGTTGTATTTCGATTTATTTTTATTTATTTTTATATATTTTTATATATTTTTATATATTTTTATTTATTTTTATTTATTTTTATTTATTTTTATTTATTTTTATTTATTTTTATTTATTTTTATTTATTTTTATTTATTTTTATTTATTTTTATTTATTTTTATTTATTTTTATTTATTTTTATTTATTTTTATTTATTTTTATTTATTTTTATTTATTTTTATTTATTTTATTTATTTTTATTTATTTTTTATTTATTTTTATTTATTTTTATTTATTTTTATTTATTTTTATTTATTTTTATTTATTTTTATTTATTTTTATTTATTTTTATTTATTTTTATTTATTTTTATTTATTTTTATTTATTTTTATTTATTTTTATTTATTTTTATTTATTTTTATTTATTTTTATTTATTTTTATTTATTTTTATTTATTTTTATTTATTTTTATTTATTTTTATTTATTTTTATTTATTTTTATTTATTTTTATTTATTTTTATTTATTTTTATTTATTTTTATTTATTTTTATTTATTTTTATTTATTTTTATTTATTTTTATTTATTTTTATTTATTTTTATTTATTTTTATTTATTTTTATTTATTTTTATTTATTTTTATTTATTTTTATTTATTTTTATTTATTTTTATTTATTTTTATTTATTTATATTTATTTTTATTTATTTTTATTTATTTTTATTTATTTTTATTTATTTTTATTTATTTTTATTTATTTTTATTTATTTTTATTTATTTTTATTTATTTTTATTTATTTTTATTTATTTTTATTTATTTTTATATATTTTTATTTATTTTTATTTATTTTTTTTTATTTTTATTTATTTTTATTTATTTTTATTTATTTTTATTTATTTATTATTATTTATTTTTATTTATTTTTATTTGTTTTTATTTATTTTTATTTATTTTTATTTATTTTTATTTATTTTTATTTATTTTTATTTATTTTTATTTATTTTTATTTATTTTTATTTATTTTTATTTATTTTTATTTATTTTTATTTATTTTTATTTATTTTTATTTATTTTTATTTATTTTTATTTATTTTTATTTATTTTTATTTATTTTTATTTATTTTTATTTATTTTTATTTATTTTTATTTATTTTTATTTATTTTTATTTATTTTTATTTATTTTTATTTATTTTTATTTATTTTTATTTATTTTTATTTATTTTTATTTATTTTTATTTATTTTTATTTATTTTTATTTATTTTTATTTATTTTTATTTATTTTTATTTATTTTTATTTATTTTTATTTATTTTTATTTATTTTTATTTATTTTTATTTATTTTTATTTATTTTTATTTATTTTTATTTATTTTTATTTATTTTTATTTATTTTTATTTATTTTTATTTATTTTTATTTATTTTTATTTATTTTTATTTATTTTTATTTCTTTTTATTTATTTTTATTTATTTTTATTTATTTTTATTTATTTTTATTTATTTTTATTTATTTTTATTTATTTTTATTTATTTTTATTTATTTTTATTTATTTTTATTTATTTTTATTTATTTTTATTTATTTTTATTTATTTTTATTTATTTTTATTTATTTTTATTTATTTTTATTTATTTTTATTTATTTTTATTTATTTATTTATTTTTATTTATTTTTTTTTATTATTATTATTATTTATTTATTTTTCAAGTCGATACTCCCATATAAATTTTCACTCCCCGTTTACCTCTCTGAAGATGTAAAAATCCAAAAAACCTTAAAATACGTCATAATTTATTTATGATGAGTAGCTACAATTCCAATTTTCAAGTTCTTACCTTTAAAAATGCGATATTCTTACACAAACTTTCACCTTTTCCCCTCCTAAAATGTAATGTGTATTATAAATTCCGTTCTTAGTGAGTGTGTGGATCTTACGCGAATAACATACATGTTATAATTTTACTTAAAATAGTAATCCCTAAGGCGTATAGTGGCACTCAAGGCTGATACTGTGGATCTGCCCCGGAGCGGTACCTGCACGTGGCTCGCTGTGCCGTACCACCCACTCTTGAGAGCTATTGCCTTCGGGTTGGTATTTTCTTATCATAATAATTAATGATGCTAACACGGCCAAACTGACCTGTATTTCGCTCTCGAAATACCTTTGTACTCTATACCAACAAATTGTCCTGACCAGGAAAAATAAAACCCACACTACATGGTTTACCATAGCTTAAAAGTATAAACAAAATATTATAAAGTTACACAATATTTTATTATAGAAACTTCCAGTCAGCTGTTAAATTGAATCGTCTTTCTGTAAAAACAAAAAGATCGTTTCACAGACTACAATATCCAACAAAATCCACATAAGAGCAATATTTTGCATATGCTCCTCGATTTTAACAATGTCCGTTCAATATTTTATAATACCACAGCAATAAAATTTTTATTTATGCTCCTTAAATTTAACAATATCCGTCCAGTACTTTCAAAATTTAAAAATAAAAACCTTGCTTATGCTTCTCGGATTTTAACAATATCCGTTCAGATTTTAAAAACTCAAAAATAAAAACTTTGCTTATGCTTCTCGAATTTTAACAATATTCGTCCAGTACTTTCAAAATTTAAAAATTATAAAAACTTTGCTTATTTTGCTCGGATTTTAACAATATCCGTTCAGCACTCAAAATTTAAAAATAAAAACTACTTATTTATGCTTCTCGGATTTTAACAATATCCGTCCAGTACTTTCAAAATTTAAAAATTATAAAAACTTTGCTTATGCTCCTCGGATTTTAACAATATCCATCCAGCACTTTAAAAATATAGAGATAATAATAGGTTTGCTTATGCTCCTCGGATTTTAACAATATCCGTCCAGCATTTTAAAACTAAAAAAATAATAAAAACATTACTAACTCCTCGGATTTTAACAATATCCGTTAAGCACTTTAAAAATAAAAACTTTGCTTATGCTTCTCGGATTTTAACAATATCCGTCTAGCACTTTAAAAATGTAAAAATAATAAAAACGTTGCTTATGCTCCTCGGATTTTAACAATATCCATCCAGCACTTTACAAATAAGAACATTGCTTATGCTCCTCGGATTTTAACAATATCCGTCCAGCACTTTACAAATAAGAACATTGCTTATGCTCCTAGGATTTTAACAATATCCGCCCAGCACTTTAAAAATAAGAACATTGCTTATGCTCCTCGGATTTTAACAATATCCGTCCAGCACTTCAAAAATAAAAACATTGCTTATGCTCCTCGGATTTTAACAATATCCGTCCAGCACTTTAAAAATTTAAAAATAATAAAAACGTTGCTCGTGCTCCTCGGATTTTAACAATATCCGTCCAGCATTTTTCAATTAATATGTTTAAAATAATTTCAAAATTATTGCTGTGCTCCTCGGATTTCAACAATATCCGTCCAGCATTTTCAATTTACATATTTTTTAAATCATTCAAAATAAAAGCTATGCTCCTCGGATTTCAACAATATCCGTCCAGCATTTTTCAATTTCCATTTTTAAATTAATTTTAAAATAGCTATGCTCCTCGGATTTTAACAATATCCGTCAAGCATTTTTCACTCTACTAGTCACGAAATGCTTACCACCTGCCATCGCGTGGTTAAAAAACAAGTCATCTAATAGGTCTCGGGCAGTTAATATTTCATTTAGGCAACAAAACATAAAGGAAAAGCCAAAAACAAAAGAATTACTTGCTAACGCCGCCCATCCAGGACAATACAACTTACCGATTTTTTTCTATGATTGTGAATCCTCAGATTCCTCATACGATTCACTAGACCACATTTATAAAACATAAAGCTTACACGATGCTAACAATTAAACTATATTTAATATTTCAAAAGATTTCTGTACATTTGTGCTAAGCAGAAAAAAGTAAAAGCAATACGTTCAGAGATACTCCTCAGATATGTGGCTGACCCATACTTAACTTCTTTAATCACAAAAACAAAAGCTTTAAATTAAGGTTCAGAGGTACTTCTTCTCAAATATTTAACTGACCTGTACTTAACTTTTTTACTTACAAAAGCAGAAGCTTTAAATGGAAGTTCAAAAAAGGTACTCCTCAGATATTTAACCGACCTGTACTTAGCTTTGTTATTAAATAAAAACAGTAGAGAAGTTCAGAAGTACTCAGAGGGATTAACCTGACCTATAATTGACTTTCTGGTGACATAATTACAACGTTAAGTTCAGAGGTACTCCTCAGAGATTAACCTGACCTGTACTTGACTTTCTGGTAACATGAAAATAACATTAACTTCGGAAGTACTCCTCAGGGATT